GGGTTACCCATTTTGTATAATATTTTCTGAGTTCCTTGTTTTTCAGTGCTGCATAGTACTCCATTGTGTGACTAGACCACAGCTGCTCTATTTGTTTGGTTTTTGATGGGCACTTGGGTTGTTTCCAACTCTTTGCTATTGTGAACAATGTAGCAATAAACATGGATGTGCATATATCAGCTTGTGCAGTAATTCTGATTTTTTTCAGGGTATATTCCCAGTAGAGGAATTGCTGGGTCAAATGGAATTTCTATTTACAACTTTTTGAGACTGTGCCATAATGCCTTCCATAGTGGTTGCACCATTTTATACCCCCACCAACAGTGAGTAAGGGTTCCAGTTTCTCCACAACCTTGCCAGCATTTGTTGTTTGCTGCTCTGTAGAATTTTGCTATTTTTACTGCGATGAGATAATCTCATAATTGTTTTAGTAGAGTCTTTCTTAATGATGCAGACGAAGTACAAAGCTTTCACTCAATGAAGGATCATCATTTGCTGATGTGGCAAGACTCAAAATAAGTGGAAATAGTTGCAAACATCTATTGATAACTAGACACAGTGACTGCCAACAATGGGCTTGAGCATGGCAGAAGAGCTTGTGAGGAATGAAGGTTTTTTTTCTTAGGGTCATTAAGTTGTAGTTGACTCAACAGCCCTAACAACGACAATTACCCCCACACTTCTTCCATGATTTCGTTGATGTTGTGGGTGTTAACTCACAGTGACCCTATGAACAACAGACCTGAACCCTCTCCTATCCTGTACCATCCTCACAATGTCCAACTCCCTCAGGCCCATTGCTGCGGTCACTGTGTCAATCCACCTGGTTGAAAGTCTTCCACTCTTCACTGTTCCTCTACTTTCCTAAGCAAGATGTCCCTCTCCAAGGAAGAACATCATCTAGCAACATGCCTCAAGAATGTGAGACAAGTTTCATCATCGTTGCCTCCAAGGAGCACTCTGGCTGTCCCTTGTGCAATATATATCTGTTTATTCTTTTGGCAGCCCATGGGATATTCAGTACTCTTATCTAACACCATAATTCTAAGGCATCATTTCTTCTTCTGTCATTCTTAGTCACTGTTCAGCTCTCAGCTGCGTAGCAAGTGATTAAAAATGCTATGGCCTGAATCAGGTGGCCCTTAGTGCTCAACCTGACATCAATGCTCCTCTTCCAACAATAAGCAATATTAAATGGGCTCCAGAGAAAGGGAGAGACTATTCTATATAATAGAAACAAAAGAATTTCAATTCCCTGGAATGGACAAGAGGGGAGAGTAGAGACAGCAAAGCTAGGTACTGTGTTAGTTAAGTGCTCAGGCAGAGACATCTTGGGCAGTAGACATTTGGGGTTGTTGTTATGTGCCGTCGAGTCGTTTGCGACTCATAGCGACCCTATACACAACAGCTCTAAACCCTGCTCTATCCTGTGCCAACCGCACTGCCTCTGACACACCCATCCTGATTACCCCAGTCACAGAATCAATCCATCTCACAGAGGGTCTTCCCCTCCTGCGCTGTCCCTCCACCCTCCCAAGCATGATGTCCCTCTCCAAGGACCCGACCCTCCTGGCAACATGTCCAAAG